AGTGTTCAAGGCCAGGCTGGACGGGGCTTTGAGCAACCTGGTCTAGTGGAAGGTGTCCCTGCCCATGGCAGCAGGGTTGGAACTAGATGATCTTTAAGATCCCTTCCAACCCAAACCATTCTATTCTATGATTCTATGATTTATAGCATCTTTTCCATACAAGCAGCTGGATGTGTCCTGGCTTGTGCAGCTTGCTAGTAAATCTGATGAACTGCTACACTGTTAGGAAACACATGCTTCTGTTTAAAGAGTGAAGATCTTAATCTAAGTATTCATTCACTCCTTCCAAAAGCTGAGAGCAAAAACAAGCATACACTTGGCCAAGAGTTACTGTTTGGTGAAGACATGAAAAACCAGCATGGAAAAAGTTAACTGAGATAATAGATACAGGAAATCCCAACAACAAGCACCCCATGCAAGAAGGTTTCTAAATCCATACAGGTCCCTCCAGATGCAAACCTTCACAGGCCTTCAAGCTGTGCAAGCTTATTTTCTTTAAAACTGTATGAATAAACCCTATTGCTTCATCTCGGAAGAGAGAAATTGCTCATACATTTCGCAATGCAAAAGTATTAGAACTGTTTCCACATGCAGAAAAAAAAATATGAAATAAAGAATAAATCTAAAATGCAGAAAGACTGGACGTATGAAGAGCTCTCTGACAGGTTCAGATCAAAGGTCCTGAAGCTGCTGCTGCTGCAGAGCCCTACAAGCCTCCACAGAGCCTCCAGCAGGACAGTTCTTCCCTCTGCAGCAAGCGGAGAAAGTACCAACTGCCTGCTTATAAGCACTTTTACTCCGTGTTGCAACAGCTGGAAAAAGAGCCAGGCTAGCAGTAGGCACTTTCACACAGTTTTTCCAGGAATTCCCTAAATCTTTTCTAATTTGTTTGATAACATTGTTTGTATTTTTTTTTTTTGTCCTCCTTAGGTTGCATCCCAGATTAGAGAGGGGTTGGTTGGCTTACAAGCCCTGCTCCCACGGTTTTCCTTTTATTAAAATCTTTGCAGATAACCCAGAAAGCACTCCTAGAGAAGCTCCATCATTTAATAAATTTCAAAATATTCTTTGGCCTTTTTTTTTTTTTAAATCTCAAATAGAATTTCTCAAGGTTAATCCCTCTGCAGTTCCTGAATAGGTACAGATGCTAAGGCCAGCCAAGGAGGTGCTTTGCAGCTGTGCAGTCAGCCAGGACGAGCAGCAAGCAGAGGGCAGCTCCCTCCCCTGTGTACCTAAGGTGGATAAACCCAGTCATCGAGCGCTCCCACCCGGGAAAGGGACACAAGTCAATGACTTGTTGCATCAGAATTAAGAAGCCAGCTGCTGCCAAACTGAAGTCAGTGAAAGGAGAGCCATGTGAATTTTAAAAGAAATCAGCTGAAAGGTGGGGCTCACCACAGCGATCTCTGATAACCAGGTTCCGGCCTTCCTTCAGGTGGATGGTCAGCAGGTAGGCAAAGGGGCTGGGCAGGTCACTCAAGCAATCATTTGCTTCCTCTAGAGCCTAAGGAGAACAAAGAAATCAGTCACCATTGCACACCTCCTGAAGCAGACCATGAATGAAGCAGGTGTTCTCTCGGTTTTGCAGAGACAAAGTTCTCATCTTTCCTTAGGGCAACCTTTTACAGAAAGAAAAAAAAGATTTCTTTCCCAGGCTTTGTTTCATTATGCAAATAGCTAATTGTCAGCATCAGGTACGTTCAACAAAGCAAGAGGTAACACAAGGAGGATTAAACCTGAAAATGAGTGGTAATATTAACAATCATAAATGCATGCACAGGTTTTCCAAATCCTACCAACTTACTGCATTTTTTTTTCTAGCTGTTTCTTGTGCATTCATAGAATATCTCAAGTTGGAAGGGACCCACATAAGGATCATCGACTCCATTCATACTCATCTGATGACCTCATGAGGAAGTACACGTTTCACATAGCTACTGAGAGGACAGTATTTCTTTATACAGTTCTAAAAGAGAGAAATGCAGCAGTGGGTAATGCTAGTTGTGAGGTTTTGCAGTAGCAAACTCGAGAGGATTCTTGTTCATCACAGATGCTGCCAGGGTTACACACCTCAGCAGCAGCAGCATCCAGCCGGCATGTGCATCAGCTGTGAAAACAGCCTCTGGACAGCACTTGAGAGGTTATCAGAGGGCAAAGGTAGAGAAGTTCATCCGGAATAGGCAAATATGCTTTACATGAGAAGACCACGTGTCAGAACTGCCAATGACTTTTTGCACCGCCCTAAAACCGTTTCTGTTGTCCGTCAAACCCTACAGCCATGTTAAGGTATCTGCTGTCTTTATTTTAATCCAGTTTGTTCCTGGGATGCTAGTTGAATATTTATGCTGATTCTTTCATCAGTTACCAGTACAACATAGAAATTATAGAATACTTTAAAAAAAATCCAGAACATTTGGGTCTATTTAAAACATTAGCAACTGCTTTGCACTACTAAAAAAAAAGCCAACAACAAAAACAAAACCCACCCACTAAACAAACAAAAAACCAAAACCAAAACCACCACACCGGAGAAATCTATAGAAGGCTTCTTCACCTGCTGGGTTTTTAAATTTGTACGAAGCAAAGAACCTAAACCTAAAAAAAATTGTGCTTCTGATGAAGTTTCAAAATGCTTTAAAATGAAAGGACTTACCATCTGATCATCAAAAATTTGAGACGATATGGAAGAGTCTAGATCCATTTCTCCACAAGGGTACTATAAAAAAAGATAAATGAATTAGACAACAGTAATATAGGGATCAAGAAAATACTCCTAGTATCAGTCAAGAAAGTACTCATACATATGTGTAACCAGTGAAATTCTTTTCTGCTTACAGAACCTTCCCCTCCATAATTCAGATATTTCTTTTTCCTGTTTTACAGTAACTGCACTTAAGTCTCTTGAGTTTAATCTAAAAAAAATAAGTGCCTGCTTCCAGCTATTGGACGAAATCTTCTCCTCCCCAGTAGAGACCTGCGCTTTCAGTGCTGAAAGTCCTTACCACAAACTCTCCTGATGCCTGAAGGTTATTGCATCTGGTGACTTATCAGTCAGCATTGCAACGCTGACCCCTATTCCTGAGCAGAATTTTATTTGTTGAATCTCCAAGTGTCCTCGCTAAGATGAAATAAAAAAATGCCAGAAGTGGGAGCAGCAGCAGCAGCAATGTCCTGGGGTTGCAGAGCCGGCTGCTCTCTCACTTGACTACAATTTCTCCATCACCCAAAAGACAAGGTCCAGAAGGTTTTTTTTGGAGGAAAAAAAAAAGCTCAGGGGCCAAAAGACAAGGTCCAGAAGGTTTTTTTTTGGGAAAAAAAAAAAGCTCAGGGGAAAAGTTAGAAAGAAATGGCCAAAGAGAAAGGGAAAAAAGATGTTGGACATGTACTTCCCCCCACTTTCTTTAGTAACTGGAAGATCCAAAGGATTTTTATCTAGTGCCCAGCATAGGAGAGGAAGTCAAACATTTCTTCCTAAATACTGACTCTTCCGAAAACTTGAGGATACGGTGGCACAGCATCTAGACTGTCCGGACACACAGAAGGGATTCATCGGTCAAGACACCTCGGATGCTATTTTGACTGCTAGAACAGCCTATGATCATCATTTAGCTGAAGAGGACCTACATGCCTGGGCCACTCTTTTGGGCTAATGCAGAGCAATCACAGCCCATTCAAATACAAAGATTTATGCTAAGAATAACCTCAGTCTACAGAAATGCACACAAGGTGGAATTCAATCCTCATGTGAAAAATGTTATTATGTGCAGCGTGGTAACATCCAAATCTCTCAGATGAGAGCTGCGTTGTATGGAGCACCATACAAACATAAAAAAAAGAACCAGCTCCTGCACCACAGGTCATAAATCTTAGAGATATTGATATGCTGAAATAAATAAATACACTTTTGTGTAATTCTCCTCCTCCTACCCCCAAATACATATATTACGTATCAGGAAGTACAGTAATCCAGCATTGCAAGTAAAATTTCACTTGCATGACAGATGAAATTTAACATTATGGTTCCCACAGTAATCGTAACTTGGCCACCTTGCAAAAACACATTAAAAGTAGAAAAATTATCATTATAAAGAGCAGCAGAAGAGTTTTCTCGCACAACAGAGCTGAGTTACAGCTGCTAGGGGAACCCTAACTTTGAATTTCCCGACTAGTATGCATAAAATCTCACTTATGTGCATTAAACCTAATATTTCTCGTAGTGTCTGGCTTCACAGGAATCTCTTTCAGGCACCATCATTGGCACTGATAATGGTTTCTCTTTACAGCTTGTTTTACATGGCGTACACACAGAATCAAAGAACATAATAAAAAAGTTACCTCTCTGCGAGCTTGATATAACTAATAATAAAAAAGTTACTCTCAAAGTTATGATTTTGTCTTGCTTTCTGTTTACTTGCATTACATGGACAGATTTTGAACAAAGATTATAATTTTTAAATAAAAAAGCTTGGTTTTTCATTTTAGCTCCATATAACGTAAATTGCTATCATTCTAGGTACCTAATTGCAATAAGATCACTGACTTCAGACAACAGCCTCACTGAAAATATGGTCCCGAAATCTTGATTTTTATCTAACTACAGTGACATTTCTGAACTTTAAAGTATAAACAAATGTGGCCACATCCACCAAGCACGTCATAGTCCCAAATGTATCTGTGTAAAAACAATCAAACCAGAGTGTGTATATATATGAAAAAATATATATTAAAAAAATCAAATCAAATGTTCCTCCTGACAAGATCTACAACCTCTATCTCTTGTTTTCTGTGGAAGAATGATTCAAAATACAAAGGCACTTGAGTGCATCAGCAACGGGACTGGCTTTGGGTTGCCAGTGACTCACTGCAAGGTGTTAGTAAGAAGACGAAGTAGTAAGTGGTGTTAGAGCACTTCAGCAATGACACGTGACCACGGACAAAACCCCACTGCAAAAAGTGGCACTAACAGTGCCCTTTGCAACCTGAATCAATCAGGGAGGGGTTCAATGCAACTTCGGTTGCTTCTTCACCCTTCAAATTTGCCTAGCTGGGCTGCAGTAGAGAACAGAAAGTAAACCTCTTAGCAAATGGAAATACGGTACCTGTGGCAAGAGCCTTTACTGAAGATGGTACGCTCTGAGCACTGACAGCTCTGTACTGACAGTTTAGACGAGTGTAAAAAACCACAAGCCCACACTGAGCTCATGCATGAGGCTCGGAAAGTCTTCACCCTTCAAATTTGCCTAGCTGGGCTGCAGTAGAGAACAGAAAGTAAACCTCTTAGCAAATGGAAATACGGTACCTGTGGCAAGAGCCTTTACTGAAGATGGTACGCTCTGAGCACTGACAGCTCTGTACTGACAGTTTAGACGAGTGTAAAAAACCACAAGCCCACACTGAGCTCATGCATGAGGCTCAGAAAGTATCTGATGATATTGGGTGACCAAAGATAACCAGGAAATGAGTAGGTGGCATGTGAGAAACAATTCAGGGGGAAAAAAGCTCAACCTACATTTTTGCTTTTTTTTTTTTAGTTTGTTTTGTTCCAGGGATCTGCCTGCCTTCTGAGGTGCTGATCAGTGAATAATGCCCACAAAAGAACGACGCGAGCTACTGTCGTGCTCCTCACAGCAACCCCACCCAGCATTAGGAGACCAATAACCTCTGCAATAAAGCGTCCCCATCCAAGGCACACAGAGTACAAATTTTGTAGCTGTTCAATGAGGTACATGAAAAGCTGAATATTGAGGGGTTTACCAAATTCAACTTAAAAATAATTAAATTATTAAAATATTAAATTATTGAATTAAATTCAATATTCCTTATCTATTTCTACTTTTCTCTGCTTCACTCTGCTATGTATTTTTTAGGAAAAAAAAATCTGCATTTAGAAGTTGTAATTGGAAGCAGATTATAGGAAGGAAGGTAGGTAGGATATTCAACATAGCAAGATGATTTGGAAAAGTAAGTCTTTTCTCTGCTTCACTCTGCTATGTATTTTTTAGAAAAAAAAAATCTGCATTTAGAAGTTGTAATTGGAAGCAGATTATAGGAAGGAAGGTAGGTAGGATATTCAACATAGCAAGATGATTTGGTATAAAAGTAAGTACTAAATGATTTGCACACACAAGCACATATACAAATACACAATTTGGGAAAGATTTAAATGCTGCAGAGAATAAGCCAGACTCAGACTGTGCGTCTGGAGGAAACCTGAAGTTAAGCTATTCCATCACTATACAGGTACCTCCTTCTCCTGAAGGACTTAGTTTGCCCAAAGTCAAAGCAGGATTTAGGATTAACTTTGGTGTTTCATGCAGCCACAATCTTCACCTGCTGTCTATATTACAAAGCCATCATACAACTCCACAGGATTCCCCCACTTTGCTCAGGCCAGGCAGGAATTACTGTTTCATGTCAGATTTGAAGCGCATTGGACTCAGATCCTCCTGTACATGGGACAGTATTGTCCAGCCACAGAAGTACTCACCGCAAAGGGGGGTGGAAAGGGAAGAAAGAGGACAAGATGGGGAATGCAGAGGAAGCTTTTTGATTTTGCACCTCTAATTAATCACAACGCAAACCCAAAGGACAGCCCTGAGCACAACACTACATGTTCACTATACTCCATCATGCTTATTTTGATTAATTCCAGGTACAGGTGGAGCTCACCTTGCTCACCTGTCATTTCTCACCTCTTGCCTTCAGCTGGATATTGAGTGGATGGATGGTAAGTTGATTTGGCTATACAGCAATCCTGATAAAGCTATATTAACTAAAAAGAATACTACGGCAAATGTATCAGCAGCACGTTTCAGAGCTCAGAGGGCTGCAAGAACTTTTCACTTAAGCAAGCAATTCCAACAACTCTGAAAAATCTGAAGTATCATAACCTTGCCAAAATAAAAAAAAAAAATGGAGTGGGGTTATATTGCAGCTCCAGATTGACAGAAAGGATATCTGAATTAGTCTCCAATAATTTATTTATCATGTATGGTTTATGCTTATTTTTATCCCCCCATTCATTCCTTTAATAGGGCCCCCTCCTCCATCCCTTTATAACCCAGACAATTAAGGAGAAGCACGACGAGCCCAGGGCGGCCACTGAGCCCGGCTGATGCCCAAGCACCTACCTCTGCCCCCTCGTCAGACAGGGCAGCGCTCAGGCGGGCACTCTGCAGCAGCTCAAAGAGGTCACTGCTGGATTTCCTCTCCTCCTGGGACATGGGGCTGCCCGCGACTTGCGCGTCCGGCTGGGTGACCGTCACCTCCATGCGTGTCGCCTGCTGCGGCGCCCATGGCCAGTCCTCTCCGGCTGGCCTCACTGAAGTGCTTCTGCTTTTCAGGGACACCACAGACCTGGAGAAGCTCTTGGGGGAGCAGCTCGACAACACCTGAGTACTTGAATAAGTCATTTCTTCTTCCATAAGAGTCTCCACCTCCAGCATGTCAGGCACCGACACACTGAGGCATCGGTCCAAGGAGCGGACCTTCCTCTCCACCATTTTGCTAGATCTCTTCTTTGTCTTCTTCACGCTTAGGTTTTGCAGGAATGGTCTAGTTTTCTGCTTCAGGGATCCCCAGACGGATGGTTTATCCAAGTCCATGGCTGCAAGGGGAATCTCAGCAATGCCTCCTGCACAAAACAGGTTTAGCGATTCCCAGGGTGACTAAAAGGAACGTGGGAAGAAGGCAAGTCAATCACGAAAGTGAACAGCCGCTGAAGATTATGATTCATGTTGTCTCATCTTGAAACTTTCAGTCATTTTCCTCAACAGTTAAAACAAAGCATGCCGCATTAGCAAGTGCTTCCAAATACAATCTGGTGGGTAAGTTTGATTATTTAGGAGGAAAACAGCCAGAACAAGTATTTAATCATACACTAAAATGCAATGTCTGCCCACTACTTTATGATTGCTAAGAGGAGACATTATATTTTTTCCTCTGCCAAGTCTCGATTTGCAAAAATTTGAGATTTATCAAATCTGAAACTGTTTCTGTACAAAACTTACTCATGGCAGTCAAATCACGATAATGCTAGCACACGAAAAATGCTGGCAAAGCTGGCACCGTAGTTTCTGCTGATGCTTTTCCAGCCCATGTAGGGGTTTTTTTGGCTATTTCCTAGGCTACATAGATTCTTACACAACATGTTAGTGGACAAGCACAACACGAAAAACAGCTCCACAAACTAAGTGGCTGAGGCTGAAGAGGACACATGCAACATGAGAAATCCCAGCTGAGACCCCAAAACACTACTGGCGGACTCTTGTCTGAGTTGATTCATACTGAGCATTTATACAGTAGGGAGGGACAAGAAGAAAAGAGCCAAAACAAAATCACCTACTGTATCTGCATCGTAAGGGAGCGGTCAAATGGACACCTCTGCGCGCAGGAATATCCTCACGGACGGTGTCTTTCACAGCTAACAGCTGAGCAAGCAATCATCCTTATTCTGTGAAGCAGAGACAATCAAATCATCATCAAAACTCATTAAGAAAAAAGCTTATGAAACCTGCAGATTTACTCCTTTACAGTCCCAAAGACACACACACAGAGGTTACAGTATATACCTATGTCCTTAGAAATGCATACCCATTAACTACATGACTGCTGCTTCCAAAACTCAGCGTATTTAAGTTCTAACAATTGCATAGTTGACCAAAAATGACTTCTCCCACTGTTTTCCTGATCACTAGGGAAAACACCTGAACAGGCAATAGAAATACAACTGTTGGATTAATCCAGACAGAGAAATCACTGTCTGCTTTCAAAGAAACATTTATTAATTTGAATGAGGTTGTATAGCCAGTTACTTAATAACTTACTGAAATAATTTTATGACTCACCCCACCATACTTGCAGAGTCTTCAGGCATCTACAAAAATGCTTGAACTGTATTACTACATAACTAAAGCTGCACAATCCTCCCCCCATTTATATTGGTATATAAATGATTAATATCAGCATTATTATATTCCACACAAAAAATAATAAGCTTTAATGGCATTACATGCATTCACAAAGCAGTAACAAATTTTGCCCAAATAGGAACACGTGCTAGTATATCAGCTTAACACAGTATTTTCACCTCTATCTCCAGACGTCAGACCCAGTATCAAAGCGCACGTGGACAAACTGAAATTACTTTTTTCACCTCACAGCATCACTGAGAAGCAAAAACAACTTTCTGAATCTCACAGAGGGAGACTTGAGGCACACAAAGGCATGGCGGGGCTTTCTTTTCTCACCGAACTCGGGGTGAAGTGCAAGATGATCAGACTTACAGGGGGAGCAGAAAAGAAATAAATGCCAGCCCTACACATTTGACCGGAGAGGCGGGAATGCCCATGTTGGAGCAGCAGCTGATGCCCTGCGCAAGCTCAAACGTGGCTGAATTTGCTCTAATCAGCTCATCGCTTTCACTTAGGCTCTTCCCTCTTTAAATAAAAACTTGACAAAGCAGCCACAGGCCTCCTTGGTAGCGTTACATCACATTGCCAATAACAGAAATTATCAGGCTAAACACATTTGCACAAAACATTATGAAACACCGCTGTTGGGACTCATTTAAACAACTCATCTACTGCCAGTGCTCTCTGCTTTGCTCGCCTACATGCACAGAAACCTGCTGAAGTAAAGGCATTGTAAAGGCAGGACCCAGCTCACAACATCCACTTCCCAAGAATCTTAACTGCTTCCTATTCCCTTCCTGTTATTCTCCACCCCTCTCATTTTGACGACCCACTGCTGTCATTTTTATTTTGTTTGCTCTGAGGTTTTGTTTCCTAGCAGCGGACTTGTTCCTGTAGGTTTTTCCAGTTACTTTCCCCCAGCTGAATGTTTTCTCCAGTTACATTCCTTCAGTTGCTAAATAGAAATGCCTATTCAGCAAGGACGGTGCAGGGACCAGGGACCATACTGTATCTCTGAGACCCACCTGCCTTTAACCAAGAATCAGCAGAGTCCTGAAGCCAGGCATAATTGCTAAAGAGAAATGCCTATTCAGCAAGGACGGTGCAGGGACCAGGGACCATACTGCATCTCTGAGACCCCTGCCTTTAACCAAGAATCAGCAGAGTCCTGAAGCCAGGCATAATCACAATAAAAGGAAAAAAAAAAAAAAAACAAAAAAAAAACCCACAGAAAAAAAATTGGGGGAAAAGTTTTGGGTTTTGGTCAAGATAGTAGGGATGGCTCCACCTAGCAGCTCCCACTCCAGCTCCCAGGCTGGGGCAACACGGTGGTGATATTTGCTGCAGGAGCACCAGGTTGCCTGAACTGAGGCCACAGAAGAAGCAAACCCATCCCTGGATTGCCAAGGAGTTTGGCCATACTCCGCCTCTGAACCCTTACACCCACAACTCCTGCTGCAGCTATAACTTTTCTTTTATAAATATTGTAATTACAAACAAATTAGTCCAAATGATGGTTATAATACAGAAATAAAAATAAACACACAATCTGTTCTAATCTGAGAAAAGGGTAAACGCAGTCTGAAGGGCAAATGCACTCTGACATCAGCCATCCACAGACTGGCACTTTTTTCGTTTCCCCAGTTCAAGCAGAAAAAAACCTCATCCCCACCATGACCAGAAATCTGTTCCCCAGAGAGGTCGCTGGAAGATCGGGGATGGAGACCACCCTCCCTCCCCAGCATGGTGCTGGAGCCAGGGGTGCCAGGCTTCCTGGGGTACCCGCGTGCCACACCAGCACGTATTCACATGCACAACTGTTCTTTCTTCCTACATCATTTTTTCTCTGCTTTTCTTTTCCATACTGAGCAACATCAATAGAAACACATAATTTTAAAGAGAGAAATTCTCCCTTGCTTGTAAAAAGTGTGTTCTTGGTACCAACACGTTGTTCATGTACTCCTTATCCTCCACAGGCCAGATCCTCTTCCTTCTACAGCCTCAGAAGTTCAGTGCCAACCGCATCGCCAAACATTCCCTAAGCAATCACAGGGGAAAGCGTACTTTGCCAAATTCTTGGTCTAAGCTTGGCCTCTTTATTCTTTCCCTGCATCAATGGCACATTGTAGCAACAATCTGCAAACAGTAATCAGAGAAACATTTCCTCTTATCAATTTTAACTTTGTTGGTTTTAATTTAACGGAATGGCTCCTTGGTTTTATGTAATAAGAAAAAAAAAAATGTTTAGCCTATCTTCTTCAGCCTTCTCTTTAATATGCTGCTAAACCTCAAATGCTCAGAAGAATCCATATAGTTTAATCTCTTCCTTCAGAGAGACCGCTTTTGATTGCACCTGTCATTTTTATTATAGCCTTTTCTTTCGCCGTCTCCTCCTCTTTTGGGGGCAATAGGGACAAGAAGGAAAGGATTAGTGACAGAAAAGTTGGTCACAGCTCACAGTCTGACTGATAAAACAAATATTTCTAGCATTTTATCCTCCCTTAAGTATCTTCTAATTATGGTCCTTGGGATTATTTTTTTTTTTATGTGCTTTGGTTTCTCTCAGTATAACACTCCCTACCTACTCCCTTAAATCATTATAATATTTAGAGCAAAATGATTTTTTTTAGATATTCTAACAGGTGGCTGTAAGAGATATTTCAAATGCCACTGAAAGCCTAGAGAACTCATCCTGCTATTCTACTTCACTTACCGTCTTGTCAGGAAGCCAGAAAAGGCACAAGTGAGAAATACTGCAAGACGCTCTGAAAGCATTATAAGAGTGCCCAATATAACTAAACTGGCAAACAAAACCAAATTGATTTACATATTGGAAACTGTGGAATACATTGTCTTTCTTCACTAAGCAACCGTTCCCTGCACACCCAGAAGTGCGCAACGCTCACTGAAGCACCCCCGAAATGCTCCCTGCTGACGCTTTCAAAAAGCATCCTCAAAGCCAGCAAGAAGATAGAAATGCAACTGAACACACCACCACCGCTATTACAACTTTCATAAATCTAGCAATCATTGTACTCTATTTGCTTATCCAATTAAGGTGAGAACGTTGGGTCAGTTTGCATGCCATCCATCTTCGTAATGTCTGATTCAGTCAGTACGTTTTCAGCTACAACTAAATGCTAGCCAACATTTAAACCCATCGCAGCTGAAAACACTAACGTGCATTAGAGGCTGTTAGGAAGATGTTCCTCAGTTGCATGCATCTTAACAGAGGTTCAAACTGGAAGGAACTAATGAAATTCCCTCATTGTAAAACCTCTATCGATTCTGGCTGTTCTGGCATAGGATGTTCACCCCAATCTCTGCCTGCTTGGCACAGATTCACTGGCTTAAAAACCTAACGCATGAGACATTGTACAAGTTACAAGCAAAGCTAATTACATTTCTGCTATGCAGCATAGTATTTGGCTATTAAAAGTTATAATAAGAGTATAACCCCTTTAGATTTGTAATTTCTGAATTCAGCATGCTGAGGAACGAGGCTGACATCAAGAAGGAGATAAGAAAGCAGGGGAGAAAGGGACCGGGATCCTCTTTTCACACCCTTTTAGCTTTTTGCTATAAATTCCACCCTCTGGCCCTAGGAGCCATAAATCAAACCATTCCTCCCTGGGAGAAAAAGGAGGATATTAGGAAAATAGCGCTCAGCTGGCTAAACAACGACTGTATGTGCTGGGTGTTATTTC